AATAATATGATAGTCTGATACTGAAATAACTATACAATTCCAAGGTTCACATTTTGTAATAACTCTGGATTGGGGCCAGGGGCAAAGCCAGTGCAAAAGGAAACATCATTAATCTGTTGGGGTTGTTTTGGTTTTTTTCCCCCCAATTTTTTTTCCCCCAGCTCTCAGATAAGATTCCAATCAATTGTCCACCTAACACTTGGCAAAAAGGCTATCTATATCTGCTAGTTTGGAGATATGTTGCTGGCCTTCTCAACGTGACAGAATAAATACATTGTCTCCCACTTTGCCTGTCTTTCCCATTTGCACACCTTAGCCATGCTTTGCAGAGCAGGAACTACATGTGGTCTGTTTTCTCCAGCACACAGTGATAGAACAGTGGGCAGCACAGGAAAAATACACTACCAAGGAATATATTTTATGTGATGACAATGGCTGCATTGCAAATTTGAGATATGCTATGCCAAAGAATGGGTGGTAATTATACTACAAAGCAAAAAAAGGCAATGCAAACTTATTGGGGAAAAAAAATTATTTTGTTATTGCTGTGCTTGCCAGAATCACTTGCATACAACATGAGAAACTAATTGTAAACTAATTTTGAACAGAAACTTTCTTCTATAAATGCAGAATACTGCCCAATAAGCAAGATGGAAAAAAACTCCATACTTTAAACCACAGGAATTCTTAGTGAAATGGATGAAAGGATAATTAACAAGCAACATGTTGAATTTTGTTTCTAATGTATTGATATGCACACATAGCACAGCTACTTTATTTTTGATTCTGCAAGCCTCTCCTCTATTCTCAATTTACCTTTAAAAAGAAAAATCATGCCCCTAACACTAAAAAAGTGATTAGTCATGCAAACTCTACTTTTAGCTCTTTAATCTGTTTCGCCAAAACCCCAAGAAAAATCTTTATAAATGTTTTTCCTTACTGCAGTAAAGTATTTAAGTGATTATCAATTCATCATATAAGGACCAAAGCTAGAAGCAAAAGGGCTTTTTCCCTTCATATGCATGGGGAACACAGGCTATGCCTAAATGATTGTCCAGTTGTGCTCCATATGCTAAGCTCACACTAACCTGCATCTGCACAAAGAGCTGTTGTCCCATATTCCACTTTATGTTTTTCACTGCTGAATGCACACATGCATGGGCACTTAGCATCAAAATGGACTGAAATAATACCAGGACAACACAAAGTCTTTACTGATTGTCAGCAGACACCTGACTGATTTATCCTAGTCTCTTAAAAATAAAAAGCTTCCCCTAAGCCACTTTCAGAAAGTATCTTACATGCACAAAATAAACACTCCAGCGGTGATTTAAGCTAACCTGCTTGACTTTGAGGACTGTTAATCCACTTGAGTACAGGCAGGTAGTACTGCACTGCCGAGAAGCGACACCACCCTAAATCACTTCTTAGCTTTGACTCATCACATAAGACTCTATAAAGAAACAGACTTGAGACATTATTTTAAGCCATTACTGAAACTTCCTTTTTGAGTACAAGGTCAAATTCATACATATAAAAGCATGCCTGAATGCTTGACAGGGGATACAGAAAGGCTTCTGACACCATGTGGACTTGAGAATAACCTGACCACACAAAACTAATGTATCTAAAGGGTCCCTTCACAGCACAATAACTTTACTAACAAATGACAACAATCAAAAGCAACTGCTTAATAGAATACAATCACCAACACAAGAAAATAAGATGTTTTGAAGTTGTGGAAGAAAAAAATACGTGCACCTACTTCCTACAACCTGAAATATGTCAAGCATGCAGAAGTCTACCACATTTCAGTAGATGCTAGAGAAACACTCACCTGTCTTTAGCTCTGGAGAACATTCTGTACCATTTTAATTAGTAGGGTCAGGGGAATATGCTTTTTTTACTGGTGGGGATATATATGTATATATACTCATATATGTTGCATATACACACACACAGACCCCTTAGCTTTTAAAGTAATGACAAAAAAAAATGTGTCTTAAGTGAGGCACATTTATTCAAATTGATGTAACTTTTAGAAATGTCTTTCACAAAACGGTTCCTTTTTTCACCCCAGACTTCCGCCTTCAGTAAACAGACATTCACTCTAGATTATTTAAACTTGGAAAAATGCAAGTGTTTTCTTTGAAAAAAATATCTATTGTTACAGAAAAAACTTGGGTTTCCTTTCAAGCAAGATCATATGATTACGCATTTATATTTTACTTTCCGCAGGAATTTACACACCCCCCATTTGCATCCTGTTATTCATTTAGCGTTTCCCTTTACTTCAGCATGCTGTGTTAATAAAGTGGAGCAGTTGGCTCAGTCTAGGCACTCAAGGTGACAATCAGTGCTCACTCTTGCATTTGTCAGATTGATTCTACAGGGTTTTCCGCATATCTTCAATTACACAAAATGTGCCTTCAAAAAAGCCATCCTGAGAAGTACTGCATAGATTGATTGTGCAAATCTAAACTAGAGGTTTTCAGGGTTTTTTTGTTTATTCTCTCATCTTTTGTTCATTCAAAGCACTAATTTTTGTTTTGGAAGCTGAATTTCACTGAAATAGCTTCCATGTTATTTAGGAACATTAGTATAAAAGACCAAGTTTTCACTATTGTCTCTGTCATGGTCATAAATTGGTCACTCCTACTGAAGTCATGGATGTTAGTCTTTAAACACCTTGAGATGGAAACTAATGACTAACCTGACTTGTAGTCCTACAGTTCAAAGGCCTGAAAAGAAGTAGTAAAAAGGTTTCTGTTAAAAAAGTGTTAAGACAACTTCTACTGAAGCTATTCTGTCTGAAGGTATAAATTAAACTCGCTTCACTTTGTACTATTAAAAATGTCTTGCACAAGGTAAGCAACATCAGATCTTTTATCTTTTCAAATTTACCAGGCTTTTTTATATTATAGACTCTAAAGGAAAAATATTCTCCTGTAATGCACCCTAGTATATGCACTTGTTGCTTTCCTACAAGGCAAATCAAAACTCTGCTCCTTAATTCATTATAATGCAATTAAATGTTCTATATTCTACAGCTGTTGTCCAGTATGGTAGCATTAGCTACAAACCTTTGCCTGAAATGGATACAAACCTAGTGCTATGCAACTAAGTTAAAAACACAGGTTGGTTGCTTCAATTCCAGATCCACAGTAGTTAAACTGCAACTTGAAATGCAAATATAACTTCTCTGCCACTAATGTACATCTAATTCATCACCACTCTAAATGGCTGAAAGCTACCATATGTTCAAATTAAAAACAAGCAACTGATGTAAATTTTGGTGTGAAGGAATTCTGAATGTCTCTTTACAGCTAAAGGCATGATTTTTAATTTTTTTTCCTATACAGAAATCATAGTCTTAAACCCCTTTATTACAGGACCTTCAAGTGCAAATTGGAGGGAAGGGGCAGGAAGAATAAAAAGCATTTCCATTGCATGAGAAATTGAGATTTGTTATTATCACTTCATCCCAAGCAAAACAGAACTTTGCAATCTTGGGCTTATTTCAGAAAACACCATTTTAAAAGTCACAACAAAACACATTTCATTGAGACTAGAACTACACTTTAGTTCCGCAAGAGAACACAGACAAGCAAAATAATTTCTTTTAAAGCAACCTACCTGAGATATCTTGCAAAGATTTTTATGAAACTGACGTTCTAAAAGATTTCTCTCATTTGACGGGAGAAAACTTTTTCATGTGAAAAAAACACTGCCAGAAATATTTGCCCAACTCTACCCTTAGACTGGATTCCATATTAAGAATTGTCCTGAACAAGCACAGAAACCAAGACACTTGCATATATTCTTCAAGCAATAAAACACAGAATGTGAATTTATGAGCATTAATAAATTGAAGCCAGTTGACACAATAAATAAAAATAATTCTGTATTCCTGCAGAAAAAAGTGAAACTATCTTAGTTAGGTTTCTTGAGTTCTTTCATCCATGTTATGAAGGCTGAAACACTAAATCTTAAACTAATGAGGACAGAGGTTATTTTAATGTCCGAAAAACTTAGTTAAAAAACAGCTTAAAATTATAATATCAACTCCATTGTAATCAAGATTCCTTAGCTACAGTTGATCAACAGAATTTAATCTTTAATATAATATTGTAAAATCTGACTGATTGGTTCAAGAAAGGACAATTAATTCAATAAAAGTTCATTGCTTCATTCCAGCAATGAAAAGTATCAGAATATTTCTGCCTATGTAAAAACTGGCATGAAGCCAGCCAGCCTGTCTCACCCTACAGAACAGCTCAGGTAGTGATGGAGTGGGGTAGGACTCTTTGGCCAGCTCTGAGGTGGCCAAGAACACCCACTTCTGGCCTAATGACTACTCCAAGTGCTGCTGTATTACCCGTGTCAGGGTTGGGGTCAGTGAAAACCTGCCCACACAACTGGAGAACCTCAGATGTCGTCTTAATGCCTCATGTCCTGCATTAATCAGGGCTTGGACCCAGGAAAGACTTTGTCTCTATTCTTTACAAATCACCTTTGCAATAAACTATAGGAAGAGGCAGTAGCAATTACTTTATATCAAAACAAAGTCATTTTTGATGTATCATTAAGCAAAACATATAGCTGATGGGAACTCACATGACATGTTTTGAACAGTAATAGTTTTATGAAGGCAATTTTCAGAGGGGAAAAAGAGAAATCTCTTGGGTATTTTTGATAGTCTGATGAAAAGGACTGGAGGACTCATTAAAGGCAATATCAATTCCAAACGTAAAGCTTTGAAAGCCTGGTGACCTAAGTGAAATATAAGTAGTTACATTTGGTTTCATGAAACTGGAAAGCTTACTTTATACAGTTACATTGTATATATCCACAAAACCGGAGGTTCCATTGAAATACATTTAATTTTATTCCATTAAAATAAATGTAACAGTTTTAAGTACTTGAACAGTTGAAATCAACATACAGGGTAAACTGAATTTTACAAGCAGTTCAAAACCAAATAAATTTCCAACACTTACCATCAAAAAAACTTTTGGCTCTCAGGTAACTGACACTGAGCCTAAGCACAGACAGCTTATCCAATTTGGCGATAACATCTTGAGGGAAAGGCAGGAGGCTAGCCAAGCGGTCCAGCTCCGCATTCAAGCGGTCCCTGTGTCTCTTGGATGGATTGGACTTGACTCCTTCAGCTGGGGACGGCTTTACTCTGTGGCAATAAAACAAACACAGCCTAAGTGTAAGCTCCTCTCCAAAATGAAGGCAAATATTCACCAAGGCTAAGATTACAAATTGTCTCAAACTTTAACAACCAAAATGTTTTCCCAAGTGATTTTGTTTCCCATCAGAAAAAAAAGAAATAACCTAAGATGGCTTAACCTCCCCTCCAACACACACACACTGTTAAATGAAGCAGTTTGAGCTACAGTGTCTATTTGAACATGCAATGAATATTTGAAATCTTTGAGATTCAGCATTTTTTATAAAAAGCTTCCTACATTTTCAGTCACTTATTCTTCCAAATGTTTGTATTATAATAAATAATAATTATTATAATAAATAATTTGGTAACTTTTAGTGGTATTTGTGTACAAATACATTTGAGAGCACACTTTTTTGCTTCGATAATTATTTCTCACAGATGTCCCTAATTTTTGTCAATGTTTGGATTAGGTTGTTTTCAGTTGAATATAACAAAAGTTTTAGTAACGTGCTAGATAATGAAGATCCAAAACTGCACAAAAAACCCCCATGAGATAAAGTTAGTCTGCATGTAAAATCTTTGTAGCAAACACTACTGAGCTCATCCTTTAAGTCACCTCTCAGCTGAAGGCATTTCATTTGAGTACAGCATGACAAAGAGGTGCCTTTGTACCTTACAAAGAATGATTTCAAAAGCTTTTCTTGTTATGAATTACATAATGAAGTTTTTATAAACTTGCTATTTTCCATTCATATCCACCCTGAGCTTCAATTCCAGCTATTTGGATACTCACACCTCCCCATGCACGCAGAAGTCTGGGAACAAGTTTAAGCCCCTACTCCTTTGAATTACAATTAGTCATTACAAGCCAATACTGAAACAAAATAATTTATCTGCACAAGCCATAGTAGATTTTATGATCTTTATTAAACAGTTTTCTAATTAAAGAGTGATTCATTCTCACTTTTCCAGTATTGAGGTTCTACATGAGATCTGCATCAGTTATCAGTTCGTGCTCCTCTCCAGGAATGTTTGTTCTGCAATATTCATCACTCAAAAATACTGAGCATAAAGACATTCAGCAGCTAATTTCTTCAGTATTTTGTTTAGTCTGCTTCCAACTGTCATACTTATATCAATTTTACGATGAGAAAACGCAAAAGCATCAATAGTTATTTTTGCCGCTGCTTAAAGTAAACCATAGAGTAAAATAACTTCATCTTGTGTTTCCAGCCAAATAAGTACTGCTGGAACAGACATTCTTATTTTTAGCTTATTTTTACTTTATGTTTCAATTACACTTCTTGTTAGTTTAAATTCAAGCCCTTCTTTTTACAGCCTTTGCTTATTCAAGTGTCACTTGTCAAAAACTTGCACTTAAGTCTGGCTGCCTGCTCCCCAGCACTATGACTGTCCTTTTGCACATTAAAGGAGGCACATGCCTTATGTAGGGCCTGGAAACGTGAAGGTGCCATAATATAAAATGTTGTTAATAGACAAAAATATAACATAGCAGCAGCAATTACTTACTCCTCAGATAAAGTTAAACTTGCTGCAGGGTAAATATTGTCTAGGACACAGTTTTAGTAGAGCTTTATCCTAAAAATATTGGAAAAGTGGGAAAAAGAAATTAATCAAGAAATATGAAAATTCTTTGTCTTTGAAAAAAACCCATAGCTTTATCATCAATGGCCATGGATGACAAGCTATTTGGTTAGATGCGTGTGCTTTGGTCACAAGTCCTGAGTTTGACACTGTCCGTTCACCATATTCCCAAGTGAATATTAAACTTCGAATAAATTAGCAAAGCTTTCTTCATATTCTCTTATGCTGGCAGAATACTAATTTGTACAAGCCATAGGGTTACACAATTTAAATATAACCCTAACAAAATAAAGTTCAAAATCACCAAACATTAGCAGTAAATTAAAAGTTATTTCTTAATTTTTTTTTTTACATATTAGACTGCCATAAATGTCTGAATAATAAATTCTAAACTTTAAGCAGGTATCAGTTGTATAACAATCAGGGAATGGTTAACTAATATCAAATCAAACTGGTCTGCTCCTGAAAAGTGGAGGACTCCATAGAAACCATTCAACACACATAAACTTTTCAAACTAAATAGCAGACTGCTCTATTTTAACAACTGCCCTCTGGTTTACTTTAAACTCACAATTTGACAAAGTAGTTGAAATTATGTGCAACTGTGCAGTCATCTCATCAGGTTATCAGTTGTTGATTGTTTTTCTAATTTACACTGATTTTCTAATGATTTCTCGTTTTTTACTTTTAACTAGTTGAAAGCATTTTTGAATATTATGTTACTACTATTTGCAGCATAAATCTTGCCATATTTTCTCCCTCCAAATCAAACACTGATTATCCCTAATTTTCCCCTTTGTCACCCAACTAAAATCCATTACATAAAAATGGATCCTTCAGTGACAAAGGGAATAAGGGCGGAAGTGCCAGGGGCATAAGCAGCAAGCTAAACCATTTTCCATCCACTTATATAAACCCTCGATGCTAAAGACAGCCCTAGCTTCACTGCAGAAAATTATCTCCAAGGCAAATTATGTCCTATGTCAAGATTAAATCCATGCATGTGTTTTATTTAATAGAAGAAAAAAGTACTAAAGGAGGTAATGTATTTTAAGCTGATCCTTCAGTTCTTAATCTTTTACCTTCTGATTTCCCTAATCAAAGCCAGAGATCCATGTACACTCAGAACCTCTGAACTGAGCTACAACCCTTATCATCCAACAGCTACAAGACAAGCAAGCACACTTAATTTTTAATTTAACAATTTTAAAGGATTTGCCACCACAGCACTAGCTAACTACTGTTTTCACTGGTCTTCTACAGCCTACTCAATCAGAAATTTTCATCATCATGCTTATCATGTGTGCCTTCCCAGACATTAATAGCAATAAATTATTATAAAGTGCACAAATACCCAAGTCTTAATCATTATCAAAAGGCCAAATTAAGTTTCAATATTTACATGCTGATTTTATCATTTTAAAGGGAAGTTGAAGCAGTTTTTGAGAAAACGCAAAGAAAGCACAAGTTTATTTTCTTCATGATATGACAACATATACTTTGGGAAAAAAAAGGAAAACAACAAACAACTAAGCACTGAAAAGCATGATACCTTATTAACAAGACTGAACTGTGAAATGAACTCAAGAGAATAAAAGAATGTGCAAGAAGAGCACTAAAGATACAGTGACACGTTTAAAAGAAACATAATTCTTCTAAAAAAAACTAATTAGAAGTTCATCAGAACAATTTTATTGTTGAGGAAAAAAGGACATAAGAAAGAACACACAAGTCACCTAGCTAATGGATTTAATCTTCTCAGCTATGTATATTTTTCCTCTCATATTTAAGAGTAAATGCGCATATGATTTAATTCAGTGTAGTTCAGGTATATGAAATGCATCAGTTATCACTAAGCAAGTATTACAATCCTAAAAAATTCTCTATTTACTTAAGCAACTGAAAAATACTTCTAAGCATTTATTCTTATTTCCCACACTGAATTTATGATTACTGAAAATTCAGTCGATGATTGCTTTGGAAGCAACAGATATGACATGGACTATCAAGCTCTTAAAAACCAAAGTTGTCATCAACTAATCTTGAAGGGGCAAGAGATTCTTTCCTGTGGCTCTTTCAGCAGAGACTGAAACCAGCAAAGATTCAGGCTGCTGAAGGGATAAAGTTGTTTTACCAAAAAAACCTCAAGCAGTGGCATACTACTTGTCCAATGCTGGGCTACTGTTTGTCCTCCAGTAGTAAACAGAGTTTTAGTTTGTTTGGTGCATGAAGGACTCAACCAGAGTAATAGAGACATCCAGAACACCAATCGGGAATGAAAGTTTAACACTCAGTTTTAAAATATTTCACTATTATTTAAGATAACAAGCCAATGTTACTTGAAAAAAAGAAACAAAAAAAATATGTTCCTGTCTACTGACCATTTTACCTACATACGTACACCTCCATTTGTTGCAGATTCTTTTCTAAAATGTATGCTTTTGCAAGAAACATTGACCAAAACCAAACCAAAAGAACCAAAATCAAACCTTAAAACCAGCAAATTTTATGTAGCAGTCTACATGTAACGTACAGCTACACTGAGACTGACAAATATATATAAGAAGTTTATTCTACATATGATAACAGCTTTATTGCCTCCATTTCAAATAAAAGGTGCAAACTGCTGTTTGTAGCCGATACTGCTTTACACAAAGGAATATTTCAATGATTATTTTTCTTTTCTGATGAACTTCCTTTCTGAAAGCTTGTTTTGGCACTTCTTGTTTGTTTGCCTTCAAAGAATACATAAACTGTTTCAATGTTTTAAATGAAAATATCTCTGCTCTGCTTCCTAACATTACTAGGACTATTCATCATTAAGGATTGAGTCAAACCTCTGAAGTACTTAAAGTCAAATATATTCAAGATAACACAGAACAAAATCCTATCATAATTTTTTATTCAGTCTACTAAAACCCAAGACATTATGCTTTTTGCATCTGCATAGTATGAAACATTTAGAACTCCCCACCCCATTCTTTGTCTATTACATTTATCCAGTTATACAAAACAATTCCTATCCAAACACTGAAAAAAACCAAAAACAAACCAAATCAGAGCTAGTAAGCAGAAAGACATAAAAACTGCAAGTTGGATCTGTACTTATGTAATACCCTTCACCTCATGTCAGAATCTATCTGCAGTAAGCCCCACTTCCATAAAATTTGCATTTTATCCTTCCTACTACAATCCTAGTATATTAATTCACTTAACGATCGCTAGATGAAAGAAATTTAAGTCTTCAGAAAAAAAGAGCAAAGCAACACGCAAGGGCCACCCACTGCTCCCGAAGTCTCAGTGGGGAGTGAACCCCCCCCCAGCCCTGCTACCGCCAGGGGGACTCGCAGGGCTCAAACACTAAAGAGGGAGGAAATTGAAAGACTCCAAGGTAT